CCCTAAACAATGTTATACTTTAATACCTATCTAGGTTGCAAGCACCAGAAAAGAGGATTCACGATATATTTTCAGGGTTGTCCAAAGAAACAGAACCGATGTGAGGGGAAGGAATTTAATACAGCAATTAAGGAGGCTGAGAATTCTGAAGATTCAGTATGCCATCTGCATGCTGGAGAATCAGGAAAGCCAGAGGTATAATTCACTCTGAATACAAAGACCTGAGAGGAAGCTGAAGGTGTAACACCTAGTCTGAAAAGGTGGGGACAGGTGCTGCTGATGTAAGTCTCAGAGTATGAAGGTCCAAGAACCAGGAAGTTCAATGTCTTTGAGCAGGAAAAGATAAATGTTCAGCTCAAGAAGAGAGAGGGACTTCATCTTTTTGTTCTACTCTGGCTCCCAGCAGATTGCCTGGTGCCCACCCACATGGGTGAGAGGAGGTCTTCTTTACAGCAAGTCTGGTGATTCAAATACTAATCTTCTCGGGAAACATGGTCATAGACACACCCAGAAACAATGCTTTACCAGCTATGTGCATATCTCTTAGCTCAGTCAAGTTGACAAATAAAATTAACTATCACATATGCCAAGGTTGGCAAGGATATGGGGATATGCGGACTCTTAGGCATAGCTGGTGGGAATACCAACTGGTACAGGCATTCTAAAAGGTAATCTCACGTAATTTAGTATCACACTTACGTGGAAGTCTTTTGCCTAAATGATGAAATATATGGGTGTATATCACCAAGAAATTCTCAATCCAATCCAAAAGAGGACATGAAATTGGATGTTTATCTACATATTGCTTGTGGCAGGGACCCAAGCGTCTCTCATTAAAACAAGAAAAGTAAAATGTGGGTAGAATATTTTGGGAATGAATGAGAAAATTAGGAAACAACAAAAATCTTAAACACAATAGATGTGTGTTAAAAACATGAAATTGTAAGGGGCCAGGGATGTAGCTCAGTAGCACCGTGCCTGCCTGGCAAGCACAAGAACCTGAGTTCCATCCTCAATACCGGGAAAAAAAAACATTCGGTGGCACATGCCTGTAATCTTAGCATTCTGAGAGGCTGAGCCAGAAACATAACAAGTTTGAGCCCAGCTTAGGCAACTTAGTGATTTATTGAGTTGTCTGAAAATAAAAAGTAAAAAGGTCTGGGGATGTAGCTCAGTGAGAAAGCCTCAGATTCAATCCCCAGTACAAGAAAGATGAGAGAAAGACAGAGACAGAGAGAGGGAGAGAGAGAGAGAGAAGGAGAGAGAGAGAGAAAGGGAGGAAGGGAGCTGTTGTGAGACAATACAATGGATTTTAAAAGATAATATGTATATAATAAGTACAACTATCATACATATTAAGGTGGGTTCCTATGATTGAGACAGGAAGCGGTATGAAAATTAAGGGAGGAAAAAATAAGACCATTAAACAAGAAAGAAGCTTTGAAAAGATGGGTATTTAAGGTGACTTAAATTGAAGAGTGTGTTTAATTCAGCTGTCTCAACCTGTTTCATTTTTTAAAGCATGCGTATATTAAAATATGTAAAAGTATACATATTAAAATGTTAGGGCCGGGGATTTAGCTCAGTGGTTTCACCACCTGCTGTGCAAGCGCAAGGACCTGAGTTCTATCCCCAGTACCAAAAAAAAAAAGTTAATAGTAGGGGCCAGGGATTTATCTCAGTGGTTCTGCCGAATGCCTCGAAAGTGGAAGGTCCTGAGTTTGATCCCCGATACCAAAAAAAAATACTAATAGTAGTTATCTCTGGGAATGGTATTAAAGGTGAACTTTTTCTACTCTGAATATATATTGCATAATAAGTAACATGCAATTTTTACATTTAAAAAAATTCATCTTACTACTCAGAACTCCTTTCCTGCTATTGGATAAATGTACAATAACTTATTAAAATCAGCTGCCTGTGTGGTCAGAGTCATGTTATTGTTTTTCCAAAATGTTCCAAAATAGCTCTGGAATGAGACCAATGGGACCACCAGATAGCTATCTAGCCTCACCCTTCTTTCCATGCAAATGAAGACCAAGCCTCCAACTCATCTTTGGCAGAAGCCTCTGTGGGATGCTGGACAACAAGGCCTCTCCTTCTGGGCTGAGGAAAGGAGGGGCAGCACTAGGAACTCTCAAAGTTGGCTCAGAACATCCTCTGAAAAGCTGCCTTGAGCAACAGTTGCCAAGACAAAAGGTCCCATCTCAAGGGTGGAAACTCTATTTGCAGCTTTGTAGACACAGGTGTTCTAGGCGACTTAAGACCTACAATGAGGGACGGTGTTCAGTGTTCAGGAATAGCTCAAGAGGCCTTCCCCTCAGAAGCCAGCTCTGGAGGCCCTCAGTGTATGTTCTAACTATATTTGGCAATGCAAACCAAAGAGGTCAGTGGCTTAGCTCAGGGGGGAAAAGGCTATTCCTGATTTATAATCCCTGCTGCAAACCAAGACCAAGAATTTAAAACTTACTTCATTTATTTATTTTGCTCACATTGAGCTTACTGCTGAAGCAGCTCTCCTTTCCAGTCTTACCAGCCCTCATGTAAATCTTTCAGAACCACAGGTATAAATCACCTACCCAAACCATCCCTGCAGTTGAGGACATCTGGGGACAAGTGGCTTGAGAACCCAAATGTTAAAATTATCCCACTTTACTCTTTATGACTTCATGGCATCAAAATAGCCTGTAGCATTTGGGTGCAAATCCAGCCTCCATCACTTACTACTCACTGTGTGACCTTGGTTAAGTTTCTTTATGTCTCTGAGGTTCAGTTTCCTTATCTACAAAGACAGATAATGGCACCTACTTCACAAGGCTGCTGTAAGAACTAGATGAGATAAGGTATAGAAAGTGGCTAGGAGAATATCTGACACCAAGCAAGTGCTAAAAAAAGAATCAGCTTTCATTCCTTCTCATCTCTCCCCTGCACCCTTAGCTGTTCAGGCAACATGTTGGCTTTTCAAGAAATCACCTGGTATCCTTAGTTGATTACAAATGGATGGTACTATTCCCACAGCCAGCAACGGTAGCTGCAGATAAAAGCTGTGACTACTTCTCAGCTGTGGACAGGTCCAATCAACTCACAAATGACTCATCGTTGATAAATGATGTGTTCTTGGCATTGAGAGGCCCTATCCTGATAAACTTTGGATCTTACCAAAAAAAATCCAGAAGGTTGATCGAACAGCTTACAGAGAAGGGCCCAGGATTTGATGGTGACCTTCGGTTAATCCTAAACACTACCAGACTGGTCATAGGGGGCTCTCTGTCTCCTCAGAAAGGTCTGCAGTCACAAGACTGGCAGTGGGAAGGACTCCAGCTGAGCAGCTGCCTCTTTCCTCTCAGAGCTAAACCATTTCAGATTCACTTGCTTAGGATTTCCTGAAGTCATAAGACTCCCGGGAAGAAAAGGCTAAATGCCTGCTCCCTGCTCACAGCGGCCCTAAGCTAGGGCCCAACGTGCCTTTGGCAGCTTTGTCTGGGGGCTGAAGCTCTGCCAGGGTGAGGTTTGGCGGAGGACTCCGGGCCTAGGGGGCAAACCTCGGCTCAAGGAAAAGGGTGAGTATTTCATCTTGAGCCACTGTTTGCAAGGCTGAAGTGTTCGCTGCTGTCAGCAGCTACCATAGTCCCCGCAGACCTCCACCCTGGGACCGAAATTCCTTGACCGTAACTTTTAGTCACTCTCTCATTCATAAAAGTCCTGTACTTTTCAGTGCCTGGCGCAGAGTTCCCCCCGTGTGAATGTCGATTAAGGGGGTCTCTGTGGTTGCACTTGTAACACCCTCACTTCTGGCAGACCTCAAAACGTTAAGGGCCACTAAGAAAGGACACGGAAACCTTATGGAATGGACCGGCAACTGCCTCCACTTTGGGTCTTCAAGATACTGCCTGAGATAAAAGTGGGGCAGGGAAATCAAAAATCAAGGGTGCCTCCCCTTACACTCCCTAATTGTTCACATGCCTCTGCCCTTCAAACCACTCACAGGGGCTTAGTATCCAGCATCTATCAGCGGAACTCGGGGCAACCTTCTAAAATGATAAGACATAAAGCAAGGAGGAGGAAGGAAGGAGGGAGGGAGAGAAAGGAAGTCCAGAGAGAAGTGCTGCGAAAATGTAAAAAGCTTGAGGAGGAAGGAAGGGGAGAGCTGCAGGGGGAGGCGGAACAATGAAGGTCTCCGGCCGTCAGAGGCGCACGGTTCCGGCAGCACGTCCGTCCAGCCCGCCTCCGGCCAGCAGCTGCACGCTGCGCAGTATGTGGGCGCTGAGTCACTGTCCCAGAACAGCGAGCCGCCGTGCAGGTCGGGGGGGGGGGGGGACTGGCTGGCATCTGTAAACTGTTTTTTTTCTTTCCTCTTTCATTAAGGTTGTGTGCTGACTCCCACGTAGGAGAATTTATTAAACCGCACGTACAGCCTCGCCGCTGGGGGGGGGGCCTATCCGCGGCTGCCGGCAGGGGGCGCCACCGCCTAGCCTATGAGCCCTTTGGCTTGTGGGACTCCAGCAGGGAGGAGGCTGGGGTTACTGGCTGCCGAGTTTTCTAACAAGTCCAAACATTTTTGCTGGGGTAGTTTCAAAATTTAAAACCCGAAGCTGACAGGGTAAGCCCCTCCACTTAGCCTGAAAGACCACCCCGACTGTCCTAAGTGCGCTATCGCGCAGGGTTCCCCGAGAGACTCCCTAAAACTGAGACGCCGTTGCGCAATTCGGGGTGCGCGAGCTCGCCTCCCCACTAGGGCTCACCCTCCCCCGCCCCGCCTGGTTGCCACGCGAAGCAGTGACCTCGGCCGTCTCCGAGAAGCCCTGACTCGCACCCAGGACCTAGGGTGTGAGCATCCCCCCTGGAGAGCAGAGCTCTCGACGATTAAACCCGCGCGGAGCTGGCAGAGCCAGCTCCCACCCGCACCGCCACCCCACATTCCGGAGCCAGGCGGCGGGATCCGTAGGATCCGGGGCTGACTGGGTCCAGAATTTTCCCTGGATGCTTGAGCCGAGAATGAATCAGTGTTGAGACAGTTTATTTGCTGTTCGCATATCACCCATTTTATGTAAATAGATTATACAGACACAATGTTCCCTTCTTCCACAGGGGGTAATCAGGTGCACTTTTATTTTGTGCACACACACACACACGCACACACACACACACGAACTCCACGAACCCAAACAATAATATTACACCTCGCTGAGACATTCACGTCTTTAAAATAAGTGGGGGGATATAATTGCTCTAAAATGCCCTTAATGCAATATATAACGTACAAAAATATCTCTATATATTTGAAGTTACAAAATAATCTTGACAGCAAGAAACTTAAATATTGATAGTTACCTCTATATACGTACAACACGCATTGCACTTTTCCTCTCTAGGTTTTGGAAAGTTCAAGTAATAATATTGAGGCTTGCGCCCCGGTTGGGGTGACACCCCGTGAGAAATTGGTTCGTGGGCGGGCAAGGCAGTGGCTCAGACCCCCGCCCCAGGGTCTCAGCATTTAAGTCTCAATTTCTCCTCCTATTCTCCTGCGCCCCATCCCCGGCCCCGGGGAGGAGGGACTCAGGCCCTGATCAGAGTGAAGAAACCATTACCCTCAAAGGGAAAGGGTCCTGCGAAGCCAGGGCTCCGACCAGACGGTGGGTCCTCGACTCGAAGTCTCTGCAGGACTGACAGACAGTCTCAGCCTGCTTCCTTGCCGAAGTCCAGGAGCCTAAATCCTCGGGAGGGTGGCGAACAGTTGGTGCACCCTGGTGTCGCGAGCCGCGAGCGCCTGTCGCTCGGAAGACACCAGAGTCCGGTCCTGTCCGGCTTCTGGCAGGGAACGACGCCGCCGGCGCCCATAGCCGTGGGGGCTGATCTTGCTTTGAGGGGCGAAGCCGTCCTTGTCCTTGTCTGTGAATTTGTAGATCTGGTGCGCCAGCTTCTGGACCGTGCACGTCCCGAAGCGGCAGCCAAAGCTTCGGAGGCTCTGGCGGTGGCGCTTGACTCGGGTGAGGCTGGCCTCCCGACCACTGGGGAGGGAAAAGAAGACAACTTGAGACCCCCCATCAGGCAGGACTTTAACTCCAATTGCCAGGGACGAGAGCCATTCTAGGACCCCAGGGAGCTGGAAATTGTTCCCACTATCTATGTTGTGATCCAGCCCGCCAATCCCTCATGCCTTCTGCACTGGGCACAGTTACCTGGGCTGGGGCCTGCCGGAGCCACTCTTTAAGTCCTGAGGCCCAAGGTCTGTCTGGGTAGACCCGGCCTCCGCGTCTGCGAGCCCAATGGGGTTGCTGTCGGTCACTGGCAGTTCTCTCTTCTCACGACTGACAGCCCATTTATTCCATCTTTAAAAACACAAGCAGCCAGACCCGATCAGCGTGCGTCGGGGAGACTGGTAGCGGGGTCCCGCTCCCAGTCACTTATAACCCTGGGGACCAGCGGGCAGTTTTTCCCTCGTCTGCTGGGGAGCAGGGCTGGGGAGGGCGCTGCTCCGACTCACTTCTTTAGGAGCTCAGGCGCTCGGTCGAGCGGCGCTGCGTCAGCGTCCAGGAAGGCCACAGCGCCCAGCAACACCAGGGCCACCGAAACCAGCTTCATTCTGGCGATGCGCAGACCTGGAAAAGTCAATCGGAGCCAAGCATTTGTACCCGGCCAGCTGCACCGCCCGGGCGGGGCACGGAAGGCGGGCGGGGGGCTGGCGGGCCGGCGGGGGCTGGTGCTGCCGCGCTCCTCCGGGTTCCCAGGCTCATCTCCCCTGGGCGCACAGCGGCGCCAGAAGCGTCAGGCCAGCACAGAGGGTGACAGGCCCCGCAGGGGAGGCCGCTGCACAGCGTCAGGCTCCCAGGAGTTTCCTGCTCAACTCCTCGGGACTTTGTTCAATGAGCGGAGGGCACTGGGTGTGTTCCGCTCCATCTGTGTGCATGCGCTGGGCCCGGGATGTAGGGTGTACTCCAAAGGACCCCCCAAAATGAGCTGCTCTCTTCACCCCGCGCTCCCGGCTTCGGAAAAGCGCCCCCACCCTCTGCTGAGCCTGCGGCACCTACCTGCTAAATGAGTGATCCACTAAGAACTTGGAGGAGAAAGTCCGAGAAGTCCTTCTGACAGTGCGAAACCCCAAAGTTCAAGACTGTGGTGAGAAGCCAGAATTGGTGAGGCTGGAGTTGCTCTGCCTAGTGTCACCGAGACACCACTCAGAAGCCAGCGCTGGGTCCTGCGCTTTATAAGAGTGCAAGGGGCGGGGCTTGGGCTGCCCTCGAGCCCTCCCTTTCCTCGGGCGCGCGCTTCTCCAAGTGGCACGCGCTTTGCTTTCCTGTGGGTGTGGGTTTGAAGGGTCTCTAGTGCCCACAGGGCTCAGAGATAAGCTCCAGGAGATTGGTGCAAGAACTGCCAGAGGCTAAATTCTCTTAATTCTGGCGTGTGGTTCAGACAGTAGGAGGGGGAAAGGAGGACCACTACAGCTTTTGGGGGGACTTATTCCAGGACTTATACATCCAGAGTAGGGGGCTTCCTGGCATAGCGTTGCAAGAGTCAAAGGGGTCGGGAGGACCGCAGGGATGACCCGAGGCAGGGGAGCTGTAGCCTCAAGTGGACCGCGCCCCCTGCCGGCTCAGCGACTGACCCAGCCTCGCCCCCAGGCTCCTGCCGAGCCCAAAAGCAAAAAGGGTACCGAGCAGAGTGGAGCTCGCCACCAACACCACCACCACCACCACCACCACCACCACCACCACCGGCACCACCACCACCACCACCCCAGAGCGGCCCCAGGGTGTTGATTTCGCAATAAGAGCAAAGCTCGAAACCACTGTAATAAGGATTGGGATTTGGACGGGGTAGTTAACAGAAGTTTCAGAATTCGTGTGCCTATTTGGAAATACAGGAATATCTAAAATTAGAAAGAGATACCATTTGTTTTTTTACTCCCCTTACTCCATAATCCAATTATGCCTTATAAGGTTATAACCTGAGAGTTTGCCTGGCTGCTTTCATTCACCCATTGTAAACGTGAGGACTGGCTGCCAAGAGCACACTAATGCTTCACGTATGTTAATAGCTTTACAGTTTACAAAGCACAACCACATCGCGGTGTCCTTTGATCCTGACACTCACCTTCGAGTTTGGTGAGGAAGGTAATATCACTTTTCCTATTTCACCAAGTATAAAATTGAAGCTCTAAGAGCTGAATTTTATTGTCCTCAAATCACACTAAAGGTAGGTAGGAAGCAACAGATTCCTAATTCTGAGCGATTAGGCAACCGTGGTGGATTGGGGTGCGGCGGCGTGGATTCTTCTAAGCTGGGGTCACTCTCTCCTTGAGGAGGAGAGAGTTCCAGCCCCCACCCAAAAAATGTGCCTGTTCATAATGAATCAGTTTGAACACGTTTGTCACCGTTTGTGCTTGTCCCTCATATCGACTTGATGTTTTCTATTTCTTATTTCCCTTTAGAAGGCCAAACTGAGAGCAGGCTCAGCCTTAGGGTGCTCCCTGCTTGTGTGAGGATCTCTCATGTCCTGTCACCTGGTACTTCACTCAAATTTCCTGGAGCCCGGTGACCAGATTGACAGGCTACTGAGGAAATTGGCTTTTAGGTTTCACTCCTTAGTTTACTTGCTCATGGTCATGTCCTCTCTCTAGCATCCCCATCTAGTCCAGCACCAGAGTAGACTTGCAATCCAAGTGAGGGTAGGGGACAGATTCGAGATTGTGGCTCTGGTGGGGGCTTGGGACTTACCGAGAATCAGTGAGGTACAACCTGGAGAACCGGCCAACCTCCAGCCAGATGGCTGGCTGCATGACAGCCCCTGCAGTGGCCCGGGTCAGGCGGCTGGTCTCTCTGCACAACAGACAACAGGTATTACCACTAGCCAGCTAGTTCCAGAAGCTTCTCCAGCCTACTGTTTTTCTTGCTCACTCCTCTCCCGCTTTCCATCTCTTCCCTTTGCTTCATCCCCACAATCATCTTCGCGTGGATCCTGTCCAGGATAGGCTGTTAGTTTCTGAGGGTACAATCTACCTGACTCCAGCTTCCAGCTGGGTCCCTGCCAGGTCATGTTTTACTTTCATTTCCCCTGATGCATGCCTTGAACTGCCCAGGAGGCCAAGGACAGCTGGACGCTGGCCCACAGCCAGCCAAGGTCTTATGATTTAGACTCCTTCCTTCCAGTCCCCACTGTCTTTGAGGGGTTCCATCTTCAGAGAATTCTGTGACTCTACCTCCTTGCCTTCTAGCTATGTTCTTTAGGAAAACCTGTGCTTCTTGGAGGAAACTGAATTCTGGATTCAGGAGTGGCGTGAGGGAACCTGAAGGATCAAACTCCTCTTTGAGCTGCAGGTGGCTTCAAGAAGAAAAGCAAATCCAGGGGCACTAGGCTCCACCAAACTGCATTCGTAAGCCAGCAGCAGGAATTGTTAGGCAGTCTCACCTGGAACCCTTCACACTATCCTCCTGTCCACTATCCTCCTGTGTGCTCAGACTTATGAGATCTGCCACTTGAAAACCAAACCAATTCTTTTCTTTATGTGATGTTTTGGATTGGCAGTTTAGAGGACTTTGCTAGAAAGCACATACATTGGAAAGTGTATCTGCATTTGCGTGAGTGAGCAGGAGGAGGGGCCAGTGTCCTCCCCAAAGTGTCAAGGGGTTCAAGTAGAAAAAAGATAAGCAATTCCCCAAATCTCCATATCTTTTTTTTCTTTTCTTGTGGAATTGAATTGCCTTACTTAATCATTGTAAAGGGGAAAAAAATCACTGAGTGAATGTGTTTTGGGTTTAATGGGCCTATCTAGAAAGAAACACCACAGTGGGAGTTCCGCTTGGGTGATTTGTTAGCAGTTGGGTATACTCAGGTTCCAAGGATTATACAGTCACATTGAGCAGAGACAGTACAAGGAAAGGAAGGAAGAAAGGAAGGAAGGAAGGAAGGAAGGGAAGGAAGAGAGAGGGAGGGAGGGAAGAAACATCTTAAAATCTTCCTGGCAAGAAAAGAGATTCTGGTTAATGGAGATCTACATTTTTTTTCTTTCTGTAGCCAAAAATTTTAAAAGATGAGATTACAAATAACCCCCCAAAACACTGTAATAAACATATATATCCTAACATAAGTACACATATGCTAAAGACTTGATGAATAATGGTATTTCAATTTCTTCTTCACATTTCTACTGAATTATGTTGTAGACCCTAAATCCAAGGCTTATTCTTAGTCATGTTTGGAGTTTTAAAAAATATGTGGTGGTGGCTTCTCAGCTTATACTGTGGACACTGTCCCCAAAGCTAGGATGAGACACATTCAGGGCTTTCATAAAAGTAATGAGTAATAAATATTAATGATATTAATAAGAATAATTAAAATGTGAATACCCAAGTGCAGTGAATAATGATCTCAGATCCCTCTTTTGTCAAACAGGAAATTTTACTGTGCATTTATTTTTCAGGTAGTTCAAAGTGTCTGTTGAGCTGAGGGCTTGTTTACAAAGTTCTCTTGAAAACAAGTTTCAAGATGCATCCTGAAGTCATAACATCAAGTGGTTTATAGAAAGGACACAATCAGCCTTGCAGATTTGGTCTCATAGGGAGAAATAAAGCAGAATATAAGGCCCAGGGCACTTTTTTGGGATCTCTGACTTCTCAGAGGAGTTAATAAAAACATAGATTCTTTCCAGAAAATGAGCATGCACATAAAAGGTAATTAAAGAATAAAATAAGCACACATTTCAGAAGATCAACCAAGTTAAAAACTCTGACACATAATAAAAAGCACTTTCTATATCTTTAGTTTCTATTTGGTTTGGAGTGGTGGGGGTAGGGAAGATAGTTAACCTCTATATTTACAGCACAGTATTCTCTACAACATCAGCATAAAGTAATGCTTTTGGTGTCTCTCTCTCTCCCTCCTTTTTCTTTTTTGAGGTGCTGGGAATCGAACAAGAGGGCCTCACACATGACTCTCCCACTGAGCTATATCCATCTCAGTGCTTCATTTCTGCACTCCGGCACAAAACAGACAATAATCCTTGTATGTGTTAAAGCCAAAGCTTAAAGCTTGAAGGTTAGTTTGTAGGACAAGTGAAAGAGAACACAGAGAAAGTAGTAAACCTAAAGAAAATTATTAAACAACAGTAACAGAACAAGATAAAATGACTTCAAGAGAAACCTTTTTTTTTCAAGATAGGGTCTCACCATGTAGTTTTGGCTGGCCTTGAACTCACTATGTAGCCCAGGCTGGCCTCAGATTCACAGTGACCCTCCTGCCTCAGCCTCCTGAGTACTGGGGTTACAGGTATGTGCCCGGCTTGAAATTTACTATTGATGGCATTCATGAATGGGTGATATCAGATGACCAAACATTTGACATCATCCTCTGCCAAATGGATGGTGTTAACAAGAAAGAAGGGTGTTAACAAGAAACCATTATGCTACTTGCCTCCAGGTGGGGATCTGTACTATCAGATTACAAGAGTCAGTGCAATTGAGCAAATTCTTTCTTTTTCCTTTCTTAATTCTTCTTTTTAAAAATGTGGTACTGGGGATTGAACCCAGGGTCTTTATGATAATTCTTTTTTATTTTTGAGACATGGTCTCACTAAGTTGTTAAATTGCCCAACCTGCACTTAAACTCGTGATCCTCCTGCCTAGAGTGCTAGAATTATAGGCATGTTCCACCACACCCAGCTGCAGTGAAGCAATCCTTATGTATGAACCTGCATGATTTGAAGTCTATACATTCCTTCACATATATTTACTGTATTAGTCAGCTTTCTATTGCTAGGAGAAAATATCTGACATATACAACTTAAAGGAGAGTCTATTTTGGCTTGTAGTTTCAGAGATTTCAGTCCATGGTTGGTTGGCTCAGAGGCAGAAACAACATGGCAGAGGAAAGCTGCTCACCTCATGGCAGAGCAGGTTGGAAAGGGCCAGAGAGGAGAGAGCCAGAGACCAGATATAGCCCTCAAGGTCATGCCTACCATGACCCACTCAGACATGCAGGAACATGCTTTCCTAATTTTCTAGATATCTCTCAAGTCAATCAAGAAGACAATCAAGATTATTCCTGGAATTTACTGATTATCCAGCACTGTGCTAAATTCTGAATACATAGTAACCACCAAAGCAAATATCATTTTTGCTCTCAATGAGCCTACAGCCTAGTGGGGTAGCCAATGTGATAAATCCTCATAGGAATAAATACATAGTTATAAACTGTAGTAAATGTTGCAGAGGAAAAGCACAACTACGGGGCCTAATGTTCCAAATAGAAGGCAGCATGTGCAAAGACCTAGTGACAAGGAAAATTTTAATACATTAGAGAAAATGAAAGGAGGCATGTTTGGTTGGAATATACTGAATAAGAGAATAGAGAAGTGAGATTAAAGAGATCATCAGGGTCAGAGTAAATAGGACACTTCAGAACACAGTGAAGATTTTTCATTATATTCATGGTGATATGGGAAGCTATTGACAGGTTTGACGATAGAAGCAGCAAGTTTATTTTCTTTATAACAGGGTATTATATACTCCATGGTGTGATATAAATTTAAAGATCACTTTGGTGCTAGAGGTATAGATCGGTATAAATCATATGCTTAGTATGTCCAAGGTCCCGGGCTACATCCCCAACACTGAAAATAAATAAATAAAGTAAAAAATCATTTTGACTATTGAATGTGGTAGATGGATTTGGGAAGAGCAAGAAGGGAAGCAGTATAGTGGTGGCACTCAGGAGAATTTAGACAAGAGTCTACTCCCATAATCTCTATTATGTCCCTCACTCTTATATACACTTCACCTAAACCACACCAATACAGCCAGCTTCATGGACACACACTCTCTTCAGTTACCAGGGCCTGCACTCTGAAGAGCCCGCACTTGATTTAATGTTCTGTTGAAGTTATTTTGAAATTCTTAATAATTTTTGAACAGGAGTCCCATATATTCATTTTGCACTGAGCTCTGCAAATTATGTAGCCAGTCCTGTTCTGTTCACCAAACATGCAATCTAAGTAAAAGCAGCCTGCAAAGTCTCACAGTACCTATTTATACCATAGCTGTTAGTGTCAGGGGTACTTCAAATGAAGGTCAGGATTCAATCATTTATCTCATCACACTTACAAAAGTGGCTGTAGGACACTTCAGTCATCTCCAAAGGCCTCTTTCCTGTACTCCAAACATGCATACAAGATAGGAATAGTACATTTGCTATACAAATTTAATTTTAAGTCAGGGTCAGTAGCCTGCTTACTGTCCTTAAGTTTTACCACTATGGGAAGTGGGGAAACTAGTTAGGAGGCTATTGCAACAATCATGGTGGGTGGTGATAAAGGCTCAGACTAGTGGGGTGGTGGGAGGGCAGAGAGAAGTGGACATATGTGCGAAATGGAAGCAGCAGGACTAAGTGATGAATGTGAGGCTGAGAGACAGAGGAGCAGCAAGGGTAACAATCTTTAAATTTCTTGCTCAGGCAACTAACTCCTTGGAAATATGGCAATGGATTACGGAATTTCCCACCACAGCCTTAGTTTCCTTTGTTAGTAGAAACGATTAGTTAGTGTAGGTTACTAGAAACAATTTGAAGCGGCCCCACCCGTGCTTGTGGACTTTTGGTCAAGTCTAACTCTCATACTGCTTTTTTGAACTGTAGTGGCTAACCACAGGGAAGCACTGGAAATGGCTGTATAGATCAACCACTTACCTCATGACAGCCCACTGCAGGAACAAGGGCTCAGTCTTCTCACTGGTAATCAGCTCCATTTTGTCCTCTAAAGCAAAAAGGCAGGCATCTACTTTAAGTACACATCAGTACTGTGCTGCATCACCTTTCTCCCTTGAGTAAAACAAATCAGGGCTTCTTGATTTCCTCATTCTTTTGGTGGAAGATGGTGGTGGTTATCTTGGGGTTTGTATGGCTTTCTGCCAACCTCAGCAAACAGGCTGCCTTGTCAGGATTTATCAGTTTCAGGAGCCTGGCAGCTGTTGGCTGACAAGCAAAGTGCAGCTTCAGTGTATGCTAAATATGTTCACGTGTGTATACAAACACACAGTACCTTTAAATACAAACCTGGGATCTGCGAAAATCCCTATGTTACAAACATCAATTTGCAAATGGCTGCATTCTACCCAAGACCTTACTGAAGGAAACGGGACAGATTGTAGGGTACAGGGAAAGGGGACACTACCAGAACTTCTGCAGTAAGTCCTAGTCTCCTGTGAGCCATGACAGTACAAGGCAAATTAATTTATTAAACAGAAAAGATAGAAAAAAATGAGACTTAGAAGAAGCTGAGCTTTGGGCCTGATCAATGCTGCTCTGGGCAGCAAAGATAAAAAAACCCCAAGCTTGCCACACCTTTATTCGTATATCAGGAATAACAAATGTACCAGATGATCCAGGGCCAGAGAATTCAGTACATCAGAGAGTAACAAATGTAAAAGGTGACTCAGAGGACAATGGTGCTGAAAATCCTAGAATAATGAGGAACTATGAAGATAAAGATTTTTGTTCCTCCCCAGGATGTAATCTTGTCCTGGAGCATCATAGCACCACCAGACCACTGAGGTTTTAGCTGTGACCAGAGGCCAAAATGGAGTTATGTCTGGACATGCCATAGCTGGCTTGTAGGCAGGAGAACTAGGCCTAATCATAATTTTAATTGTGAAATGATTTTTCCCCAAAATCACGTAGAATTGTTCCTGACATATCTCTTTCTTTTTGTTTAACGTAAGTGTGCTTTTAGGGAAAAGTGAGCACTCCCAATAATGGCTTGTCCCTATATATTGTGAGGACCTACGGTGTGTTTAACTGGCTTGGTTGTCTATAACAAGCTCTTTTTCAAAGGGCTATCCCCAACTTTGGTTAGGGGAGAAGGGGCGCAGGTTTTATCCAACTGCTTCGAGCTGAGATGGATTGATGTAGGGAAAACCACAGTCAGGGGCCCCTTCTAGGGAGCTAATTTAATGGGCCTTAAATGAAAGCCATGTTATAAATTAGCAATAAAAACCCTCTTTATAAAGTATATCTGGTGGATACTGGTAAAGAAATGTCTAGCATATTTGTTGTTGATATTATCTGTATGATCACTTGCAGTTTGGCAGTCTATAGGCAAGAATAAACAAAAGAAAACTTTTAAAAGAGATTGCAGCATGCATAGTCAAGGTATAAGCACTAAAAATAAAAAGGGCAGTTTGGGGAAAGAAGCATGTTTAGAAATTGTTTTTAAGGAACTAAAATAGTGAATGTAACTTCTTGACTCATAGACCCTCCACTAAATGGAGATTATCTATAAGTCAGATTGTTTTTCATAATTTTTCTTAATTTTGGCTGTAAAAAGATTAAAAATCTAACAACTTTTAAAAAACAATTTTAGCTAAAAAACTTAAAACTCTTGTTGAACTTATGTAAATATTATCTTCAGTTATACATTTCTACTGGGTGTTTAAGATCAAGTTATGGTGAGACCTATATTAAATAAAATTAACCTTTTGCTATCTAACAAGGTCCTTTGGCACATTTTTTTGGTTGCATCTTACTGTTTTGGTGTCCAGCAACCTCCTTGCTGAGAAGGTTGGATGACTTACTAAAGATGCATGATTTTGGAGAAGTTTCCCTCATGTCTTTTTGTTGTTGTTATTGTCGATCTTGGAGGGCCAGGGCCAAAATATTGGCTGTCTTCTTTCTTAGCCCAATTACCTTTCTAGTTCTGGTGTTTAAATTTTAGTTGTTGAACATCCAGAAGAGAAGATCAATAACATTAGTATTGTAATAGGAGTAGTGAACTTAACTATTACCTGGATATTAGGCATTTTGAAATAAAAATAGGAGACTGTTATTATTGCCAATCATGATTGTTCTGGTGGTCGAATCCCTGTAGAATGTTAACAGAAAAAGGCTTTGAATCAAAGACTATACATAATATTTTAGCATGGCAATCATGATATTGTCTTTGTAAGATACTTGAATGTGTATCTTAGTATAAAATAGCCATTGTTAAACATACTCCCCCCTAAAAATGCATAAAAAAGGCTCTTGTCTAGGTAGCTATCTTTTGACAGGGATGTCATCTAAGGAAAATATAACTGCCTACAAATGAACCTCTTATCGTAAGTGCTTGGAGCAAGGCAAATATCTGAGAAATGCAAATATCTGAATCAAAAGGAGGTTATTACCATAAACAATACGTTGGAAGACCCATCCAATTAGAGGGCATAAATACATTTTGTACACCAGAAAAGTAGCAGTAATAAGCATCACAATTATATAAAACCATATGTCCTACAATGTAGTTTAATACCAAAAGCATCTTCCTAATAACACCTTTTTGTTTATCCCACAGAAATTAATCTTTTGAAAATGACCAATGTAGACATATCAAAATAACATATTTAGAACTTAATGAATGTAAATGTTTTATAATAACATATTTAGAGCTTAAACTTTAATGATAACTAATGTAATCGATTTATAATAACATATTGAGACAATGTTTGTTAGGGTGTGTCTCCCATAAGGTTATGAAAATTATTGGGGGGTCCCATTAGTGAAGTAGCTGCTTCTTTATTCATCAAGGGGAGTCCCATTTAACAGTCTCTCCAAACCCAAGGGTCTCTATTTACTTTGACAAAAAAATTTTTTTTAAATTTTTATAATTTGGAAAAACCAAATTGTGACAATATGTTATTTGTAGCCAATAAATTTTTTTTTAGTTATTGCAAGTAAGCGACACTACACATTACTTTTGTAAAATAAATCTTGACGTCATTTTGATCAGCTAGCAACCTGGGGGAAGAAGGGCATGGCTTTAGCTTAATAACATTTATCTGTAAGCCAATTTAATTATAGGCAAATATCTTTTAAGAAAAAATTTCAAAAGGTAAAACAAAAGAGGGAAAAAAAGGGGGAAAATTGAGCTCAAACAAAATAGATGTATGATTGGACAGACAGACAAACATATAAGACAATTTATAAAACTAGAGTGCACACAAATATATTTGGCCAAATTGAATTATAATATCCCTTTTATGATTTTTAGGTTTATCATTGTACCTAAGACTGGTCAAAAACTTTTTGTAGGTCAATTAACAGATTTGTTTTGATTAGAATCAAAAGGAATAAAAGCACTTTATATCTATAAAGAACTATTTTTAAATTGGCCCCCTCTTTCTTTCTTTCTTTCTTTTTTTTTTTTTTTGGTACCGGGGATGGAACTCAGGTCCTTGCACTTGTGCAGCAGTCAGCAAAACCACTGAGCTAAATCCCTGCCCCCCCCCTTTTTTTTTAACCATAAACCTATATTCGTTCTCCCTCTGAGGGGCATCATCTCGATCCTGGAACTTTATGTGGATTTGTTGGTCATTATAGGTGAGGTGGTTCGCTCAGGCACAGCTGGCTTATTGCTCTCAGCAGGGGTATTATCCCCAGTCTTCAAGATGTTGGTGGCTCCACCAGTGTGACCCATAGTCACATGTTCTGGGAGGGCAACCACAAGGTTTTGTTATCTGTTAGCACACAAGCAAAATCTCTCCTCCAAGTTATCAGGGCAGCAGGGCCACTCCATTTATCTGTTTGGACATCTTTCCAAAGGACCGGTGGTTTCTGGGTCTTAGCCATGGCTGTATGCCAATGGAGCATAGGAGGTGGTTGTGTGAAACCTGCTGCAGGATTTAAAAAATTAAGTACAAAACCAGCTAGAACTAAACAGGCTTGTGGAAGTAGCTGATTTTCTTTTGATTGTTTAAGTAATTGATGTTTGAGAGTGGCATGGGCTTTTTCTACTATGGGTTGTCCTTGTGGATTACATGGAATACCAGTACTATGCTTAACATGCCAAATAAAGAATTTTTGGATAAATTTATTAACATATGATGGACCATTGTCAATCTTAATATTTTTGGGCACTCCCATGGCAGCAAAGGCGGACAAGCAGTGGTGTTGGACATGTTGCCCTTTCTCACCAGAGTGACACATGTATCATGTGTGAAAATGTATCTATAGAGACATGTACTAACCGAGACTTTCCAAAAGAGGGGACATGTGTCACATCTATCTGCCAAATCATATTACTGGCTAGGCTTCAAGGGTTAGTTCCCTCAGGGGGAATGGGCCATGGAATCTGCTGGTAACTAGTACAGGCCATAACTATCTGTTGTGCCTGAGCTTGAAATAGGTGAAAATCATGTTGTAGTGCCTTGGAGTTCTGGTGGAAATAGCTATGTGGTTCCTTAGCCTTATCAAACACAGCAGGAACTCCTATAAACTGGCTGGGGATTTAGCTCAGTGGTTCTGCCGCCTGCCTTGCAAGCGTAATGCCCCAAGTTCGATCCCTGATACTAAATAAATAAATAAATAAGAATTCCTATAAGCTGATCTGCTTGTGCATTGCCATACAAAAGTGGTCCAGGAAGATTAGTATGTGATCAAATATTTCCAATACAAAAGGGAGCAGTTCTTTGACATATGGCCTTTTGTAATCTAAAAAACAAGTTTAATAATTTAGGTTCTGAGATAGAGCAGATCATAGCTCCTTCCAGTCTTTGAGTTAAACAAACTGCATAGGAGGAATCACTTAAAATATTAAGAGGTTGGGAGGGAAAGTTTTCAATCACAAATAAAATGGCTAGCAACTCTGACCACTGAGCAGAGAGACCAGGTGTACGCAATACATAGCTAAAGGAAGAACTCCAAATTGCTGTTTGGCCCTTAGAGGAGCTGTCAGTGAAATAAGTTGAGGCACCTTGCAATGGCTGAAATTAGGGAGAATAAATT